CTCTGACCCGGTCCTGGCCATTATTTTTAATCTCAATATTCAGAGGAGGTAAGATTGTCCATTATTGGTAGAAAGGGAGAAGAGGATGTCTGAGCCTGGTAGGATAGTGGCTAGACAAGCTATACAATTCTCATTCCTCCTTGCCCAACCCCAAATAATTTAACTCACTACACTTTCACTAACTTCCTTCCTGGAATCTGATTTTCCTCTAGCTTTCATAAGGTGAAGAGGGTTGGAGAACGTTGACCCCACATACCCTAGCCTAGCTTGTTCAGGGATGTCTCAGCATTGGGAAATGAAAGGTCTATTTGGGGCATAGGTTATATGGCTAGATTCCATGAGGAAAAAAATTCGAGTTTTATTCTTAAGGAGGTCAGAACTGGCCACCTGGATGATGAAGAATATGCTAGGGTTGCCTAACAGTTACCTAGTCTTTGTTCTCAGTCACTGGGTGACTAAGTGGCCTGCAATTTCCATAATTGTTCAAGGGTATATGTGGTATTGATTTAGAGATTAAAAAGCCGTGAACATTCATTTTTAGCTTAAATGAAGGTGCTATTCCCTGTTTCCTGGCAGGAGTGGGTAGAAAGAAATGAAAGAAATCTATTTCCTGATCCTATTTTTGCTGATACTTATGTGAATTTTCAGTTTCTTTTCTGGACTTGTTTTTGCTAATGAATAGTATGTAACTTTGTATTGCACTGTATTTTTCCTCTGAGATAAATTGTGCTGTGAAGAGAGAAATTTGTTTCTTTCCCAACTTCTCTGGGCATTCCACTTTGTGTTTTAGGTACTGTGCAAACAGCAGCTGAGGCTCACTTCAGAATCTGACTTGGGCTCAAAGCCTGCTATGGAATCATGTGAATTTTGGAGTCCTCCTTTTTAGGAACTCCGTAGCACTTAGGATCACGTCTTCCCAGGTCCCTGAATGACTTCTAGGCTTCCTGGGATGACGGTGTAACCAGTGCATCCTTTTTCAAAGTGTAGTATATTCCTGTTGCTACTGCATATGTGTGAGTTTATAAGTCTAAAATTCCAGAAGCTGTTCTCTTTCCTCTTAAGCAACTCATGCTAATTGCAGGCAAAACACCTAAGAGGAAGGGGAGCATCCTCCTAGGTGCCAGGCTAAACATACAAAGTGACAGCTGTGTCATCATCTATGACCTGTGTAATGTATCTCTGGTGCATGGTGGTCTATCATTCCAGCCACACAGCTCCGTGTACCACTGGAGCAAATGATGCAGGGTTGGCTGGGAGGAGCTGTTCAGACTCCATGTGTTTAGCACATACAGAAATAGATACTCACCCAAGCCTCAATAAAGGTTAGTTTTACCAGAACTCTGTGTCCCAAGTGTTTTGTTTCAAGGGGCCTGCCATGACACCTGCCACAAATGCATGGTAGCAAGAGCACTGAACTTGGGATTGAAGGGCCTGGCTCAGAATCCTAACCCAGCCACTTAGCTAGCTGTGTGAACATGGACAAATCACAAGGACAAGTCAGTCTTTCTGGGCTTTAGTTTCATCACTCATAAAATGAGGGGGTTGAACTGTGTGATCTCTAACATGTCTTCCATCTCTGAACCCATGTATGACACTATGAATGTCCCATCAAAGGAAGCTCTCAATGGTAATATGTACTGACTGTCATTACATATTATTATATATAATTGAGGGTTTTGATGGCTACTGTTAAAAAACTTAAAGTACTTTTTTATTTTTGATAGAGTTTCCTGTAAAGGTAGGTGGTATTAACTTCATTTTACAGTTGTGAAACCTAAATTACATATTTATATGATTTGCTAAGGGTCTTGGAGTTAATGACAAGTCCAGATCTAAGAATTTAGATCTAATTCCTAATCTAGTACCTTCTTGCTGCCTTGTGCTTGCACTGTTAATTAGACTTAGAGTGGAGATTAATGCCCTCTTGAAAGATGCCATCATTGAGGGCCTCGGGATTGCTAACTGTCTTTTGAAATTCACTTAAGTAAATACCTAGGGGGTAGCTATCAATCAGTAAGCATTTATTAAACTTTACTAGGTTCTGGGCACTGTCTAAGCTCTCAGGATACAAAGCAAAATCTCCTGTCAAGTAACTTACATTCTAATGGGGGACATAATAAATAAATCAGGGTGTGCAAAATAAGAGGATAGAAAGTAACCTTAGAGGCGATGGCACTAGCAGCTGGGGGGACCAGGAAAGACCCCCTTTGATGCTTGAGTTGAGTCCTAAAGGAACTTGGGGATTCTCAAAGTCAGCGGTGGGGGCGGGCAGTGGGGGGACATTCTAGGCATGAGGGGTAGCCAGTGAGTGCAAAGCACAGTCAGGGATGGGAGATGGAGTATCCTGGGTGAGGAGGCCACTGAGGCTGGATCATGGAGTGGGTGGAGAGGCTAGGAGCAGACTGCAGAGTTAGGAAGGGCCAGGCTCTGAAGAGCTTTAAATGCCAAACAAAGGATTTTCAGTTTGATCCTGGAGGGAGTAGGGAGTCGTGTTAATCAAGTAGGAGTTGGCATGGACAGATCTACATTGAACAGTAGTTGTACCACATGTATGCTGGTCACAGAGTTTTCTTGGCACGTGCACACTTTCCATACCTAGTCTTTCCATCTTAGTAGCTTTTAAATGGGCCAGGATATTTTGAAAGAAATAAATGTTGACTATAAGAAAAAAAAAATGTAACTGTAATACAACTATTTGTTATAATACTAGCACTTTATTTCTCTGACCAGTAGGTGGTGACTTAATGCCAGCAACAAGCAAATGATTGAAAATATTTTGTATTTTAAAGGGAGCTTAACTTCAAGCTTTAAAACTTCCTCAAAATGCTAACACTAGGGAGCTTTGTTAAATCCGATTCTTTGACTCAAAGTTGAATGAGAAGGAGAAAGCCTATGACATGCTTTGATAGGCAGGCCTAGGATTATGGGCCAGCTCGTCATCTATGGGTCTCTCTTTCCCTTTTGTTCAATGAGACCCCTAGCATCACTGGCAGAAAATCATACTTATTCACTGGTTGTGGCAGCTTTCTTCTTTAGAAGTCACGTGTTAGCTAGTGTTAGCTAGGAAGAAATGTTTGATCCCCTTCTCTGCCTTTTCCCTCTCAGCCCCCTTTGGATATTTCATCCTGAATCATCTTGCCCAAAGCTGCTCTAAACAAGAGTGTTGCTAACAGATCACAGCATGCTGTTTGAGTACATTTTAGCGTCACTCACATGACCCCTCCTTGCTGGGCTCCGTGTCAGCCCTATAACTGAGTCAGTGACCTTTTCTGAGCTATTGTCTTTACATAGTCTGTGGTTTCCAGGACTTCACTCAAAGGAATGCTGGAGTCTTTTAACTTTGCATTTCCATCCCAGGAGGCCATACTTCTTCAGTTCATTTCATTAACCAAAGTGTCGGAACAAAGCCTGCCCCATGCATGGTGAGGTGGGGGTGGGGACTGCTCGAATTCTTGCCAGATGTAATGGCCTGGGATTCTTGCCACACTGCTGTCTTCGATATATGTTTTTCTTAAATGGCTCAGTTGCATGTCTGGCACTGATTCAGGGAAAGTTAAAACCTAGCCATCCTAAAGTCAAAAATCTATGACTCAAGTTTCTGTGGTCTGCATGTATTTAAATGGCTTTGGGGACGAGTCCAAATTTTTAGAGGAGTTCTTTTTCCTAAATTGTGCCCCAAGGCTTTAAACAGCATATATCCTCTTCTTTTCTCTCTCTCTCTCTCTCTTTTTTTTAGCTGAACCTGCTTTTCTACCAAGAAAATGCTGAACTGAACAGTTCTGACAATATCTCAAGAGATAGTAGAAAACTGTCACCTTCCTTCTCTCCTTTCTCTCTCTGCAACTGTGTCAGCATATATTCAACAGCTAGTACAGGATCATCAGTTTTATTCTTGGATACAGGGTGTTGTTGACTCCAGAGACAACAACAGGCTATACTGAGGAGGAGGAGGAGGAGGCGAGTGAGGGCTAGGCTGCGTCCATGAGCAAAGGCAAACTGAAAATAAGGCGAGCAGAGAGTAGAAATAGTTATCCCTTCCACATCGTGGGGATTAGGGGCATGGAAATCCCAACTACTCTCCCCACTCTGATCTGAAAATTCATGTAAAAATTTTTGACCCTCCCTTCATGCCAGAGAGCAAATCTGAATTATTACAGTATTAAAAGGCAAAATATGGTGATATTATGCAATATTATACATATATTTTATGCATTTCTGAGTTTCTAAACTTTATCTGTGTCATCTGCTGGCCTTTGCAGGTCATCTGTGGCTTCTGCAAAACTTCCCCAAAATTCCCGTTTAATTTCTTATGCCAACCCATGGTATTACAAAACCACAGTGGGAAAAGTCTCGATGTAAAAGGGATAACTGTACTTGGGTACATATTCCAGCTATTGTTTTTTTCTGGTGGAAGTTTCATATCACCTCCTCTGAACCGGGCCAACATTAGGGCTATAGATGTGTCATCAAGGTTATGCTCAGGTGTAAGACAAACTGAAGTTATAAAAGCTTGCGAAAGGTGTGACGATAATTGGACAGGCAGGTGGATACTACCACCCCATGCCAGACAACTGAATACACAATACTGTTTGTCAACAATGTGAAAAATATATCTTTTTATTATATTGAAGAAATATGTAGAGTTGTATCAATAACGAATACAAGCAAAAAATATGGATTGATAGCTATAAATATGCTTAAGAGAACAGTCCCTAAAATGATACAAATTCTGCCCAACTAAACAAAGCAGATTAAAAAGTAGTAACACATGAAAAGATGTACAGTGTACCCAGAAGCCAGGAATGTCGTTCAGCAGTTGTCAAGTGGGGAAAAGAAACCATGGGGATAATGGGATTGTTTGGAGGGCTCTTCAGTGTTTGAGGAAACCAGAACCCTGTACTGGCCAATCAGTCAGTCACTGATTCCTAAAGTCCCAGTGGGGCTTTCCCTGCATCCCATGGCACACTCTCTTAACTAATGATATCCTTTCCCCTCTTAATTTCTCATTATGGTGATATTGTTTTTATCTTTGTGGTCTCATTTTTCTAACCTCATGCTTGGCTTTTTTTCTTCTCCCCGTCTTCCCGTCTGCTTGTCTGTCTGTCTGTCTGTCCCTAGGTGGTGGTATTTCCCCAGGGTGATTGCAATTTATCTTTCTGTGTATCCTCCTGACAGATTACAAATTAAAACCAAACTTTAACTCCTGATAACTTCCAAAGCGGAAAAGTACCTTAAAAATATATATGCTCACTCCTTCTCCCTTTTTCTCTCCTATTCTCATTGTCTGACAGTTTATGGAGAAATCTGATTAAAAAAAAAAAAGCTGCACCTTAGTCTTTTCAGTGCTTCATCTGAGAGGGAAGTAGGTGGGAGACCATTAGATAATGAGGACAATTGCAGTTTTTTAAAAATTGTTCACAGCCTCCTCTTGTCCTCGATCCACTTGAGGTAATTGATAACCTTGGTGTATACACCTGGAACATCTTTCTCTCCACATCCTATGCCCCAGCTGATGATGCCAATCAGATGCATACGATTGTCCTTCATACACACAAGAGGACCTCCTGAGTCACCCTGCAATGGGAGGACAAATTAATCAACACTTTTGCCATGCAGATGAGTACTGCCACCATGTCTGGAGACTGCAAGCAGTATTGTGGAGACCTGAATAGTTCGTCATCATCATCATCATCATCATCATAGACAATTGCCTTTATTCTTTTGTAGTTAATTTACTGAAAATATATTTTCATCTTTTGCAAAGTCCTGGAGACCCTGCCTAAATAGTTAAATTGCTACTAAGTGAAGGTTGAGGTAAATCAGACCCCAACCCATCCCTTGTAGACTTGATATAGAAAAATGATTGAGGTAAAATATTTCCATTTCAACATATAATATCTATATAGTATTGTGTATCCAAATATAATATTAATATTATATCACATATATTGTATATAATAGCATATAGTATGTGCCAGACACTGTGCTAAACACTTCAAAAATATCTCCTTTGATTCTCCCAACAATGCTGGGAGGTAGGTTCTGTTATGATCTCCATTTTACAGCTGAGGAAATAGAGGCAAACAGAGGTTAAGTGAGTTGCCCAAGGACACACAGCTAGTAAGTGTCTGAGGTTGAATTCAAACTCTGGACTTCTTGATTCCAGCCCTGTGCTCTCTCCACTATGCCACTTAGCTTTCCTCCACCAAAAAGTGTCTTAAAATGCAACATAAATATTTTAAGTGCTTACTATGTATAAAGCACTCTTTTGGTCCTATAACATGTATCTTTTTTTTAACTGTAACGAATCGACAGTGTTCAAACAATTAAGCATTTATTAAGGCCTCCAGCTATGGGAAAATGCACGGAATCCTTCCTTGATCTGCTGGATTGGAGCCTTCAAAGACAATCCCATTTAGCATGCTTGATCAGTCAGTCAACAAACTGTTTAAGTACTTATGAGCCAGGCATGGGACTAAGCATTGAGTATACAAAGAAAGGGGCAGCTAGTTGGACAATGGGTAGAACGCTGGGCCTGGAATCAGGAAGTCCAGAGTTTGAATTCAGCCTCAGATACTTAGTAGCTGTGTGACCCTGGGCAAGTCACTTAACCCTGTCTGCCTCAGTTTCCTCATCTGTAAAAATGAGCTGGAGAAAGAAATGGCAAAACCACCCCAATATCTCTGCCCAGAAAACCCCAAACGGGGTCACAAGGAGTCCAACACAACTCAATGACAAGAAAATACAAAGAAAAGCAAAGCCACAATCCTGCCCCTCCAGAAGCTCGCATTCTCTCACATTAGTACCTACCTCCTCTGGGTTGTCGTAAGGTTCAAATGAGATAATAGCAGTAAAATGCTTACCACATAAACCTTTATAAATGTTAGTTATCATTATTATCATTATTGTTATTATTATTATAGTAGGGGAGGCGGTGTGCAAACTCTGGTACCTACAAGATGTATGCAGGGTAAATGCGAGTCCTGAGGCATGGCACTAACAGGGGGCAGGAATGGGCAAGTCCCCCTGAAGAAGGTGAGAGTGAAGTTGGGTCTTGAAGGAAGCGAGGAAAGCCAGAGACAGAGGGGAGGAGGAAGAACATTCCAGACGTGGAGGACAGATGGTGAAGAGTCACAGATGTAGGAGACAGAGTGTCTGTCATGTGCGAGGAACAGCAAGAAAACCGGTGTCTGAATCTTACAGTCTGTGGAGGGGGTAAAGTCTAAGAACTCTGGAAAGCTGGGAAGGGGCCAGAGTGCAGACCCCACTCCAGAAGTTGGGCGCGGAGGGCTCTCTAATCACCCCCATTACTTAAGAAAGCATTGCAAGATTCCTACTTTGAAAACCGTTCAAAGAACAAAAAATGCCTATTTCCAGTGTGACCTTGGGCACATCATCTAACTTCATTAAAGTCTTAATTTCCTCATCTATAAAAGGAAGTAGTTGGATTAGACGGCCAGAATTGCTTTATGTGCTGTTAAGTAGCATAATTGGGATTTAATCCCAGGTATTTTGTCTCCCAAGTCCAGGACTTGCTCTACTGGAAGCCATTGAGGTGAAATGGGAAGAGCCCTGGATTTGGAGTCAGAGGAACTAGGTTTTAAACCCTAGCTCTGTCTGTGTGACTTTGGAAGGAAAGAAGGAAGCAAATGTTAAAAATACACCTACTATGTGCCAGGCCTGGTGGTGCCAAGGACTTTACAAATATTATCTCATCTGATCCTCACAACAACCTTAGGAATAGGTGCTGTTATTATCTTCATTTTACAATTGAGGAAACTGAGGCAAACAGAGGTTAAGTGACTTGCCCAGGGTCACAAAGCTAGTAAGTATCCAAATTCCAATTTGAATTCAGGTCTCCCTGGCTCTAGTCTCAGTGTTCTATCCACCTCACCACTTAGCTGTCTCTATTTGCCCAAGGCAATTAAAATTACCCCCCTCAGCCTCATTTTCCTCATCTGTAAAATGAGAGGGTTGGACTAGAAAACTTATATGTCCTTTCTAGCTCTGACCCTGTGATCCTATCATTGGGACTTAGAAGGGACCTCAAATATCAACTGTTCCAACTCCCTCATTTTACAAATGATGAAACTGAGATCTAGAAAGAAGAGAATTGGCCACGGTCTCACAGGGAGTAAATAGCAGAACTGGAATTCAGTCCCCAGATCTCTAAATACAAATCCGGAGATCTTTCCCTTTGCAGCTACATACAGATACATACCTATGCAGCTGGCAGGCCTGGTTTGTGCCCAGCACCATGTGGCTATAGAATGTCAGCACTCTGTCTCACATGAATGCCAGCCCACAGACTGCCTGGACAACTTGTCTCTTTTAGAGTTTCACTTGGTCGATGGTGCGATTTTGCTGCTATTGCTCCTAAACGAATGGTTTCTCTAGGACATAAAATATTCCATAGCCTATTTCCCAGCCTCATAAATTCCTCGAAGCTCTGTGAAGAACTTTGGACCTCCTCTGGTCATTGGCACAGTGCTCTGAATATAGTTGGTGCATAATCAGTCGACAACCACTTATTAAGTGAGCCCTGTGCCAGTTTTTGTCTTTATAAAAATGAAATATTCCTTATTATTCTACCAAGTAAAACAACACTTAAGAGACAACTAGATGGTACCTTAGATAGAGTGCTGAGCCTAAAGCCAAGAAGACCTGAGTTCAAATGTGACTTGAGACATTTGTTAGCTGTGTGACTCTAGACAAGTTTGTCTGCCTCAGTTTCCTCCCCTGTTAAAAACAGCACCTACCTCTCAGGATTATTGCAAAGATCCAATAAGATAATATTTGTAAAGTATTCCAGGCAAGTCTCTGCCTCAGTTTCCTCACCTGTAAAATAGGGCTAATAACAGCACCTATCTTTTAGGGTTGTTGTGCAGATCAAATAAGATGGTATTTGTAAAGTACTTAGTACAGTGCCTGGCACACAGTAAGCATTTAATTAATGCTGGTTCCCTTTTCCTTAATAAATGCTGGTTGCAGTAGTAATGGTTAGCATTTATATAGCAACATGATGGTGCAATGGATAGGGTCTAGGACTTAGAGTCAGGAAGACCTGAGCTGGAATCTGGTGCCAGACACTTGCTAACTGAGTGACCCTAGACAAATCATTTAACCTCAGTATGCCTCAGTTTCCTCATCTGTAAAATGAGTCTGATTATAGCACCTATCTCCCTGGATTGTTGTGAAGATCAAATGAGGTCATATTTATCAAGTTCTTGGAAAACTTTAAAGTGCTATATAAGTACTATTATTATTTTAATAAGTTTTTATCAATGTCTCCTGTTTTTTACATCATCGTGGTTATCCCTAGTATCCCTCACTAACGATAATTGGTAAACACTTTAAGGTTTACAAAGCAGTTTACATATATCAGTCATCTTATTCAGTCCTCACAACAAACCTATTATCATCCCCATTTTTCAGGTGGAGAGCCCGAGGCCAAAAGAAGGTCCAGGTCATACAACAAATGCTGCAGGTAGGATTGAACTCAGGTCTTCCTTACTCCATGCCCAACATGCTATCCACAACACCACCTAGCTGCCCCCAGGTGAATACAAAATAGGTTTGAGGTCGGGGACGGTGCCGTCAGTTCAGGGAGATCAGGGGAGGCTTCCCGTAAGAACTAGCACCAGACTGAGCTTTGAAGGAGGCAAAGGTGAGGAGTCCATGCGTACACGTTTTTATTCTCTTTCCTTTCACTGATTTTAGTCATTTCAATTGTTTCTGACTTTTTGTGATCCCTTTCAGGGTTTTCTTGGCAAAGATAGTGGAGTGGTTTGCCATTTCCTTCTCTGGCTTATTCTAGAGATAAGGAAACCATGGCAAACAGGGTTAAATGACTTGTCACACAGCTAGGAAGGGTCTGAGGCCACATCTGAACTCAGGTCCTCCTGACTCCAGGCCTAGCCCTGTATCCACTGCACCACCTCACTGCTCCTTCTCAGGGGAGATACCCATTCCCCAGCACCTGTAGAAATCAGGAATTTCTCATATAACTTGCAGAATATTACAACTAGAAGAAACCTTAGAGATCATCTAGGCCAATCCTCTCATTTTACAGATAAGGAAACTGAGGCCCGGGGAGATGAAATGACAAATAATAGCTATAACCATAGGTAACATTTACATAGTGCTTACTCTATTCCAGGCCCACTTCATAATTATCTCGTTTGATCCTCACAACTAAATAAATAGGAGCACCAGCAATTGAACCAGGTGGAAACTGAGCTTTCACCCCATGTTCTCTGACTCCCGAGTTCAGCCTCTTTCCACTGGCCCACACTGCCGCTGTTTGTGTTTCATTTGTCACTGCAACAGTCAATTCACTGAACGGGCTTGCAGGAAATCCAGCAAGGCAGGTGGGGTTTCCTTCCCAGAAACTAAGGAAATTTCTTACAGTTTATTTAGTTTAGGATTCTTTGGTCTTTCCCTGCCACTAGTCTCAAGGACTCTCACCTATACTCCCTGAGGTTTACATTGGCTTCTTGAGATTAAATGCATTTATTCCATTCTGACTGGAATTTTCCTTGCCTAAAACCTTCTTTTCCTCTACCACAGTAATCCGAGTGATGGAGAAAACCCTATTTACCTGGCAGGCATCGTGTAAGTTTCCTTCCTTCCCGCCACTTCTCGTGTCCCCGGCACAGAGCATGTTCTCTGTGACTGTTTTATTAAACAGGTGCCGTGACGTGCAGCGGCTGGATGGGTACAGACGGACGTGGCCCTCCTTCAGTCTCTCAGAGTAGAAGGGAGAATCTGTAAGAGAGACAAATGGTGTCATGGTTTCTGCTACAACCCTGGTTCCTTCCTATAGAAAAGACATGGGATTGTTTCTCAATCCTTACCATCTGCAGAGTGCAAGACATGTCCTATAATTACTCTTTTTTAAAATTGTAAACTTAATTATCAATGTAAACATTTCATTATATGAGCAAAACCAAAAAAGAAAATTCTAAGTACATTGTTGTTCAGACATGCTGACTCTTTGGGGGTCATAGCACACCAATACTGTCCATGGGGTTTTCTTGGCAAATTTACTGTAATGGTTTCCCATTTCCTTCTTCAACGGATTAAAGCAAACAAAGGTTAAGTGACTTGTCCACAGTCACACAGCCAGTAAGTGTCTGAGGCTAGATTGTCTGAGGTTTTTGTCTGCCTTCAGGCCCCGGGCTCTACCCCACTGCAAAACTTAGCTGCCTCTTGTAAAAAACGTCAGTTTGGTTTTTAAAAGTGAATGTTAAAATTATCAAAGTTGTAACAAAGTTGCCCCGTTTGTGTTTCCCTTCTGAACGTGTTTGTTTTCTTCTGTGTATTTTTTTCTTTTTTTGGCTAGGCAATGGAGGTAAGTGACTTGCCCAGGGTCACACAGCTAGGAAATATTATGTGTCTGAGGCCACATTTGAACTCAGGTCTTCCTGAATCCAGGGCCGGTGCTCTATCCACTGCTGCCACCTAGCTGCCCCCTTCTGTGTATTTTTTAAAAATGCTTCATGCGTGCTTTTTTTTCATCTCTATCCTTCTCACTGACCTCCCCCCCACCCCCACTCCCAATAGAAGCCCTTCCTTTTAACACATTAGTCAAGCAAACATATCAGCACATTCACTATTTCTGAAAGTATGTCTCATCTTGTACCTCTCGTTCATCTCTTCTCTGCCAAGAGGTAAGAGGCATGCTAAAATTACTCTTCACAGAGCACCTTCATAGCCATCCTCTCTTCTGTTCTGCCAAATTACTCCGTGAGCTAGGCAAGCACCAGGTCATTGTATGAAGGGACAAGTAAAGGTACAGAGAGCTGATAACTTGCCTAAAGTCACAGGGAGGGATGGAATGGACAGGGACTAGAACCCAGATCTCCTGCCTCCTTGTCTTCTGGGTTCACTACCCCATAGCATCTCATGGTATTCTGCAGACTGGTTATGGTTAGAAACTCCCTACAAGCAGCGGGTGTTACACTTACTCTCCTCGTGTTTGCCGTAGCCAGACAGCTCACATTCTGTCCAGTCAGCCAGTTGCAGGCCTGCATCAGGAAGGCAGACGGTCCGCACAGACTTGGTTTCCTGGGCACATTGTAATGAGTCAGCTTTAGGTTTCAGATGCAAGAGAGCTGGGAAAAGGAACAAGGAAGAATGTGCTAAGTCCTCTGTGCAAACACACACACAAACACACACACACACATTTCCATTTTCAGAACAGTAATGTAAAGGGTGAGGAGCTAGAGAGAGTGAGCATAGGTGTGTTGACAAGGGCCAGATTTCAGAGGGGGAAATTTAGAAAAGGTCCATCTTACCAATGTCATTGTCAAAAGTCTCTGAAACAAATTTTTCATGGATGATGTATTTTTCCACTTCAAACACTTGTTCATCCTCTTCTTTCTTCTCCCGGTAGGTGCTGCCTAGAACCACCCTAATTTCATGGACTTTGTACCTGTTGAAGAAAAGGGTCCTTAGATGACTATTGTCACAAAAACTTCTTAGGTGGCCATATGAGTAGGAAAGTGGGTGGGAAATTCAATTCAAAAATATTATCAAGTGCCTACTCTGTATACTGGAGCAACTAGGTTGTGCAGTGGATAGAGTCCTGGAGTCAGGAAGACTCATCTTCCTGAGTTCAAATCTAGCCTCAGAAACTTACTAGCTGTGTGACCCTAGGCAAGTCATCTGTTGGCCTCAGTTTCCTCATCTGTAAAATGAGCTGGAGAAGGGAATGGCAAACCATTTCAGTATCTTTGTCAAGATAACCCCAAAATGGGGTCACAAAAGGTTGGACATGAGTGAACCTATTAAACCATAACAACACCATGTGTACTTGGTGCTAGCGTTAAGACAAAAATGAAAGTCATTACCCTCAAGGATCTTACATTCTACTGGGGTGATACAACCTGTATACAAATATGTAAATGTGAAGTATATTCAAAGATACAAGGTAATACAGAATAATTTCAAGAGGAAAAGATAAAACAATTTCATAATTAGAGCAATCAGGAAAAAAACCCATGTAGGGGGTTGTACCTGAGCTGTCCTTTGAAAGAAGCTAGGAGGCTTTATGAGATTGAGGTGAGGAGGTCTCTTATATTTCAGACATGAGGGACCATTTGTGCCAAGATAAGAAGGCAAGAGAAAATAAATGCTTGTTTTTTCCTTTTGCAAATTGTAAATTTTTTTTGCAAACTGTTTCTTCCTTCACAACATGATTAATATGGAAACAGGTTTTACATGATTGCACATATGTAGCTTGTATCAAACTGCTTACCATCTTCCAGAGGGGAAAGAAGAGAGGGAACAAGGGAGGGCAGTGAAAGAGAAAGAAAATTTGGAACTCAAAATTTTATTTTAAAAATAAATGCTAAAATTGTCCTTATATGTAGTTGGAAAAAATACTATTAAAAAATGAAATTGGCAAATATTTAGCAAAATAAATAATGTTTAAAAAAAAGAAAAATGCTTGTTAACACGGAATTGTGTATACAAAGAAGAGCAAACAAGCCATTTTGGAACAGAAAACGTGTAAAGGGGAGCAATAGGAAATAAGATTAGAAAGGCAGGTGGGAGTCAGATTGATTGGAAAGGGATTTAAATACCAGACTAAAGTGTCTGTATTTTATCCAATTGGCAATGAGGAGCTAATGAAGATTTTTAAATAAAGAATGCCATTGAGCAGCAGTTGTGTTGAAGGTATAGTGGAGACAGGAGCAACTGAAGACAGAGAGACCAGCTAGAAGGCTAGTTAACGTTAATGCAGGCCTGAACTAGGATGGAGGCCATGGGAGTGGAAAGAAGGGGACAGTTGTGAGGGTTGTGGAGGTTGTGGAGGGAGGACTGACAAGTTTTGGCAACTACTTGAATATGAAGGTTGAGAGAGAGAGGAATCAGACGATTCCAAAGCTGTGAACCTTGGTAACTAGGAGGATAATGGTACCATGATCAGAAACAGAGAAATTTGGAGGGATGGGTCTGTGAGGGAAAATGAATTCTGTTTTGGACACACTGAGGTTGATACGCCTATGGGACATCCAAGTGGAGATGTCCAATAGGCAGGTGGAGCAGGCAGTTGGTAAGATATGGGACAGGAATTCAGCTTCATGGATCATGGGGGAGGCGCAAGAAGATCCGATCATGGTAGCCTAGGATCCTTTAAGTGTTCCACCCTTCAGGTGAAACATGGCAAAACCTTCACCGTCCCCTAGGACAGAAGCTTTCTTGGAAAGTTGGTCCCGTTAGAGAACATTAGACCTTGAACCCAGTAGGAGCCCTGATGTGTTTGCTTTATTCTTTAATACAACTGTGTGCATCCTTTCCTGGCTTGAAAGCCTTTGTATGTCATCACCAGATTGTAATGCAATGAGCATGTCCCATGATCTGGTAATGGTTCAGGAAGAAGAAGAAAAAAAAATCAACTTATAACTCAGTCTGCCCAACCCCAATGCTACTTTTATCATTTGCTTTTACTCTTACATCCTACGATGGAGTTGGAGAAGAAGAGTCAGTGTGAAGCAGCCCGAGAGCTCTATCCTTTTAACTTCTTTCATTTAAAATTTTGAAAAAAATATTTATTGATTGATGCTTTTTGTTTTATACGTCATAATCATTTGCAGCTATACCTCCCTACACACACACACACACAAACACACACACACATGTATGCACTGAACCTTCCTTTTTAATAACAATGATTTTAAAATATTAAGCAAAAATGACCAACAGAGCAATTATTATCTGTTAAACAACATTCTGTATCTATGATGTCGACCCCTCTAAGAGGAGGAAAGTGTGTTTTACCACCTAATCTAGAACCAAGATTGGTCATGGCAAAAATCATCATTTAGCAGCTTCTTAGGCTTATTTATATTTCTTAGTTGCTTTTAGAAATTGTGCATTTGAACAGCTGTTTCTTTACCTACAAAATGAGATTGTAGACTAGTCTCTAAAGTTCCTTTTAGCTCTTAGTCCTATGTTTGTATGAACCACTTTGCAATCTCCGAATGCCAATCCATCCTTGAAAACCATGTGCATAGAGGGGGCTCAACTGTTAACTTCTAAGTACAATAAAAATTAAAATTAATAAAAACTGAAGCAATGGAGGTATGCTTCTAATACAGGCATAACTAGAATTAACTCCCTAGACTATTATCACTCATCTTTCTTTCTTTTCTTTTATTATTTTAGAAAAGAACCTAGAAAAAAAGGAAAAATTCATTTTGCTGATGTGAATAGACCAAGGTTGGACTGCCTCCAAGGGATAATGAGAAATTGCCCAATGGTCTGACATATTGAGCAGTTTCAAGAGATTTGACCCAAGCTTTGGTGGCTTCATTTTCCAACTCTGCAACTTCCCCACCTCCACGACTCTTCAAGTTTGTTTAAAAACTCCTAAGATCGTACAGTTGACACTGATTACTGAAGTGTCTGGAAATTTCCCAGCCTCCCCAAACCAGTCATAATCTGGGACCATTCCAAACTAAGAAGTGGAATAATTGTCTGACTTTGTACTCCCAGGGCTGGCCCAGAACTAGACCATCTTCAGGCATTGCAGATGGTTGAGCTGTAGAAAGACCTTATGGCATGGTTGAGAGGAGGCCTTAGAGGAAGGTCTGGGTTCATGTCCCACTTACGACTCATCCTGGCTGGGTGTCTGGGCAAGTCACTTAACTTCTCAGTGCCCTTAGACAATTTCCCAAGACTATATTTTAGGGAATAGTTTTCTAACTGAAGTGGTAGAAGGAGCTTCCTCACCAGGAATTCCCTACATATCCATGAAATCATAGGTCCAGACCAATAAAAGAAAATTAAGAGTGACTGCAGACAAATTGTTATTCCCTTAGATGAGTATTCCCTGGCTGTCAGACTTTCTATAAGAGTTTCCTCTGATTTCAGTGTCTAGAGGAGAATAACTTGTGGGTTTTCCTCATTCTTACCTCTCCTGAAAGCAGTGGGCTGCAGAGAGAACCCAGCAGGAGTCAATCAGTATTCCTCCACACAGAAAATGTGTTTTCCCAGGGGATCTCCTGTCCAAGGTCGTGATGGCAGCCTGCCAAGGATGAGAGGTGATGTCAGCGAAGAAGCCTCCTTTAATTCGAAATTGGCTTTCTTTATACTGCCGCAGGCCACAAGTAGCTGGGGAAAAGCAAAATACAAAGAAAAGGGAGGAGGTCAGACTTTACAGAGGTCTGCAAGAGTTCTTGAGAAGCCATTTTGGTTCCCAATTTTAGTCTTCTGAACTCTGGCAAAATAGATAGTTTCTATAAGCATACAAAATGATGGAGAAGACCACAGGAAACATGTTATTCACTTAGCATACAATGCCCTCTCCTCTCCCCTCTCCTCTCCTCTCTCTTCTCCTTTCTTCTCTCCTCTATCTTCTCTTCTCTCCTCCCATCTAATCTCTCTTCTCCTCTCCCCTCCTCTTTTTTCCTTTCCTCTCATCTCCAAATTTACCCATCTTTCATAACCCAACATGATTACCACCTCTTCCACAACCATCTCAGGTCACAGAAATCTCTCTCCTGCCCTCAAGGAACTTACATTCTATTGGAGAAAGGGGACAGATAAAATGTGATTACCGATAAGAAAATATGGTCTATACAGAATAAATCCAGGGTAATTGGGGTGGGGGAGAGCACTAAGAACTGGGGTAAATCAGGGAAGGCCTCCTCAAGGAGGTGGCACTTGAGCAAAGGCTTGAAGGGAATTAGGAGCTGCAAGAGGAAAAACCCCTAGTAATATGGCACTAGCTTACCTTTCCAGGCTTCTGTACCCTACCCTCCTTCATGGGCGCTTCATTCTAGACAAACTGGTGTATTCACTATTCCTTGACACAATATCCCATCTCCCACTGCCATGACTTTGTCCAAGCTACCCCCCATGCATCTTAAGCTCTCTCCTCCCCTCTGCCTCTTAGAAACTCTAGCTTCCTTCAAAGGTCATCTCATCCCCCAGTTGTTAGTGCCCTTTCACCAGAAATTACTTGCTTTACGTCTCTCTATCTCTCTCTATTTGTCCATCTGTCTGTCTTGCTCTCTCTCTTTCTCTCTCTGTTTTCATCCATCTCTCTCCATCTCTGTCTGTCTCTGTGTCTCTCTCTGTCTCTTTCTCTCTCCATCTCTCTTCATATATATGTATTTATATACATATACATATATATACACATTTACATACACATGTGTGTATATATATACATATACATATTTGTATTTAATTTTCTATGTACATGTACAAGGAGCAGAAGCTCCTTGAAGGCAAGGACCATTTCATTTCTGCTTTTGTATCCCCAGCACTAGCATAGGGCCTATCATTAGAGTTAGGTCTTAATAAATGGTCGTTGAATGAATGAGTAAAGATCATTCTTGACAAGAAGGACGGCTTGTGAAGAATTGAAGAGGCAGAAGATGGAGTATTATATTTGGGGAACAGCAAATAAGTCAATTTAGCTGGAACACAGAGTGTACAAAGGACAATCTGGAGAGGTAAAGGTGGCAACCCTTGATTTACCTCTTTATTCTCTTTTCACTCACCCCCTCTTGCTGACCTAGATCTTCTGCACAAGCTGAAGCACATGATAAAAACTGAAAGGAGAGATTTTTGAGGGGGAATGGGAAGGAGGGAGGGGACAGAGTATTCTCGGTAGGGAGGAGAGTTAGATCCACTTGAAACCTTTCCCGAGACTGCCATCAGGAGATTGCTGATCCCTCCCACCCACCCCACTCAGTGGGCAATGGAAACCTGTGTTGACTCTCATTAATTGTCAGGTTAAGGAACAAACATGACAGAATGATTTTTTAGTTTCTTCCAAGTTCCTCACCCACGGAGAAGTGGCTGCTATAATCACAGACCAACTAGAAAGGAAGAGAAAGAGCTAGAGCATGCAACAAAAGAAAATGCCAAAAGTTCATCTCTTACAGCATTTGGGCACATCACAGTATTCCCATGTCTCCAGGTTGTCCTTCAGCACGTAGCACCAGGGTTTTCTGTCATTGTCTGGATTCCTGAAAGCAAAGAGGTTAGAGCATTTTACCTCAATTAGCAAATCACAGGATTTTTAAATAAAAGCTCAGAGTTGGAATTTATTGTGCTATAAGAAATGATGAGCAGGCGGACTTCAGAAAAACCTGGAAAGACTTGTGTGGACTGATGTCGAATAAAGTGAGCAGAACCAAGAGAATGTTGTACACAGTAACCGCCACATTGTGCAATGACTAACTTTGATAGACTTAGCCCTTCTCAGCAACGCAAGGATCTAAGACATCTCCAAAAGTCTCATGATGGAAAATACTATCCACATCCAGAGAAAGAACTATGGAGTTTGAATGCAGATCAAAGCTTACTATGTGCTATTTTTTTTCTTCCGTTTTGTTTTGTTTCTCCTTTCTTGTGGTTCCTCCTATTGGTTCTAATTCTTCTTTACAACATGACTAATGTGAAAATATGTTTAATAGGAATGTATATGTGGACCCTATATCAGATTACACGCTGTCTTGGGGAGGAAGGTAGGAAGGAAGGGGGAGAAAATTTAAAACTCAAAAGCTTATGGAGGTGAACGTTGAAAACTAAACATAAATTAATTAAAAAAAAAAAAAGCTCAGAGTTAGAAGAGACCTTTGTGACCTCTACAGTGATGTCAAACTCAAATAGGAATGGATCCCTGCTGGCCACATACTGACTTAGAAAACCACAAACTTATGTAACCAATGAAGTATTTTTATTCATTTTGTTAAACATTTCTTAATTGCCTTTCCATATGGTTTGGGCTACACTGGAGAGCGCATAGAACCCACAGGCCTCACGTTGGACATCTCTACCACAACATCTCAAACATGTGGCCCTCTAGTCTTTACTTAAAGACCCTCAACAACAGAGAACTCACTATCTACCAAAGCAGACTATTTCGCTGCTGGGCAACTTGCAATTATCAGGAAGATACAGACGGGGAGTCTCCCTGTAACTCCTATCCACTATTCTTCATCCTGCTCTCTGGTTTCCTTATCCAAAAGATGGCCTTATGGATAACGAAGGATACCCCTGCTTCTCTTCACTAGTCTTCTTCAATCTATCTTCATATGACACAAATTCAAGTCTCCATCATCATCTTTCAAATCTTTCCCATTAATCAAATTCTACTTCTGCTATGATCTTGTTGTTGAATCATTGTTCAGTCGTGTCTGACTCTTCGTGACCCCATTTGCCATCTTCTTGGCAAGAATACTGGAGTGGTTTGCCATTTCCTTCTCCAGTCCATTTTACAGATGAGGAAATTGAGGCAAACAGGGTTAAGGGACTTGCCCAGAGTCATACAGCTAGGAAGTGTCTGAGGCTGGATTTCAGCTCACAAAGATGAGTATTCCTGAATCCAGATCTGGCACCCAATCCACTGTTCCACCTAGATGCCCATGCCTTAAAAAGGGCCTGCGTCCTCTCCTCCCCCATCATCCCCCAACGTTCTCATATAGAGCTTGGAATATGAAAAGTAAGATTTTGAATGTCTCCACAATACCTCCTCTCTCTTGGGAAAAATCGTGTTGTTATTTTTGAGTAAGATTAAGCAGGCTGCAATGCTTTATTGTCCACTAGCTAAAAAGGTCCAGAGAAGTCCAACTGGATAGGGGAGTCAACGGAACTCCCAAATCCCTTCTAGGAGCAGTGTTCATAACAGAATTGTGGAGAACAAGGACATCTTAATAATAGCTTGACTGACACATGTTGGTAAGGGTAATCAATTCTGTAGAGCTATTTAGGGCCCCTTCAGGCTAACTTGAATGTTAGCTACCTTTACATAACACACCAACGAAGCATATATAATCATCTAAAAATAATTTTTTTTAGGAATGAATTACATTGTTATATAATGGATGCTGGGAAAACTGTCACAGATCCATGCATTCATTTGTTTGTCTGCTTGCTTTTTTTTTTTATTTATAGAAAGAAAATTTCTTTGTTTACAGAGGTAGCTTGATAGCTCAGTGGATAGAGCACTAGAGCTGGCTTCAGGAAGACCCAAGTTCATATCCTGCCTCAGATACTTATTAACTCAGAGAGCCTGAGATAAGCTCTTAACCTTGTTCTGCCTCAGTTTCCCCATCTGTAAAATAGGGATAATAATAGCACCTACCTCACAAGGTTGTTGTGGGGATAAAATGAGTGAATATTTATAAAGTGCTTTGCAAATCTTAAATTTCTATATAAATTCGAGCCACTATTCTTAGAAAGGGTTTTAGAGGAAAAGGGGAACCTGGGAAAAGATACATCATAGAGCAATTCAATAGCTGGGAATCATGACACCTGTGTTCTACATTTGATTCTTTGAATGACTATGTGAGTCACCTTTCTGTGACTTGGGCTTTTTTTCCCCATCAGGAAAATGAGAGTAGAAATCTATTTTCACAGGAAATTTGTGAAGATATGGAAGCTATATGAAAATTCTTGGAATTCTATGACAGACAAAGCCACAAAAATCTCTTAATATTTTAACTTGAAACATCCAATATTACCCTTACTCACTCTTTCTCCCCTCCCCCCACATAAAATCCAGAGTCATACATACAAATACAAACCTACCGGCAAAAATTATGACTGCCCAGGCCCAAGTCATGTGCATTCTTCTTCCATGCTGTGTAAGTTTTAAGTATCAGACGTGGGGAATTCCACTTCAGGCAAGAATTGCCTGATTCAGTTCTGCTCTGAATACCCCGGTACAATGTGCCATTTCCAGTAAAGCAATCGTTAGTGAGACCTAGATTAAGAAGGGGAAAAAAAGTGTGAAACAAAAAATAAATAAGAAAACAAATGAATAGTAATCCTTTCTGGGAGGGCTTAGAGCTGGGTAAGATGAATTGGGATACCAAACTTCTCCTTTTCGGGAGGATCTGAAATTTTATCACTTCCTTTTTATTTTCTCAAGTCCAAGGAGAAACTGCTTCCTTCTCTCTCTAACAGAAACAATTGATAAACTGTCCCACTTAATATTATCAGTTGTTAGTGTTTTGGAGGTAGAAGGAACCTTAGCAATCACTTTTTCAAACCCCTCTATTTTGCTTCTTGGGAAACTGACCCAGAGGGATTAAAGAATGTCCCTCATAGCTGCATTGCAAATCAGGGATAAAACCAAGACTGAAAATCATAGCTTCTGAGGTATTAGCGATCCATAGGGTGATGGGGCGCTATGATACAATGGAGTGACTTGTTTCCCCTTGAATTCCCACCTTTATACACTGTCAGATACTAGAATAGTTCTGTAGTGATAAAATATGCTTCTGTTAACCTACTCTTGCTTCTCTTTCTATTTTGCAATTTCTACGTCATTATCCTAGTCACCTAGATGCTTAAATCCTTATTTAAAGCTCTTTCCTATCCTTTACCCTTCCCCCCAACCTATCAAACACAAAATCAAATCAATTCTCCCTCAACATTATCTCTTAGAGTATTTTTTCCGTTTCTCTCTACTCTCATTGCTTCCACCCTCATACAGGTACTCCTCTCTTGCCTGGATGATTGTATTGTTTGTGGTTGTTGTTCAGTTTTTTTCAGTAGAGTTTGACTCTTCATGACGCCATTTTGGGGCAAGAGATACTGCACTGGTTTGCTATTTCCTTCTCCATCTGATTTTACAGATGAGGAAACTGAGGCAAATGGGGCAAGTGACTTGCCCAGGGTCACACAACTAATGTCTGAGACCAGATTTGAACTCAGGAAGATGAATCTTCCTGACTCCAGGCCTGGTACTTCATCCGCTGAAACATCTAGCTACCCAGATGATTGTATTAGCCTTCTAAATAATCTATTGCTTCTCTGCTTAAAAAATTTTGGTGACTCCTCATTGCCTGCCAAACCAAATACAAACTCTTTAACTTGGTATTCAAAGCCCTCCACAGTCCAGGCTCAGCCTTCATAGTCGTCATTCTATCATTCACTTCTCACCATTCTCCAATTTGGCCTTTGCATGCCTTTCTGCTTTTGCACACACTGTCCCTTAGGTTGGGAATAATATTGCACTTCATCTCTGCCTGCTGAAATTCTTCTCTTCCTCCAAGGCCCAGCATAGGAGCCATCAATTTATGAAGTTATTCCTAGAAATGATCTCTTAAAAAAAAAACAAACCTACACCTCTCCTATGCACTTAACATCATTTCTCATACTTCTTCCGAAGAGCCATACAGGCCTCCTTTCTAATAATGCAGATGGTAACCCCCCTTATACCTTAATAAAAGGTCTCCTTGCATTGCTATTGTAAAAAAAAATTAAGTCATCACTTAGTCACTAGTATGATGGTAAAAAGCATCTCTGAACTAAACTAGGTTGATCCTTGGACAGCTGACATAGTCTATTACTGGCTCATCCTCATAGTTCAGTAGGACCGGCCAGAAATTGTGCTCTGTTAACCTAGCCTTTGAGAACCCAGGGTCACTTGTCCATCACAATGAGGCTTTGGTAGAGAAGAAGGCTTTGATAAAACATCATAACATGCTTGTAAGCCTGTCTTCTCTCTGTTACACCGTTAGACTACAATCTTCCAATGACAAGGCCTTTGGTTTTTCTTTTTCTTTTTTAAATCCCCATCGCCTAACACAGTGCTCTCTACATAGTGGGTGTCTGACAAATGTTTGCTGAATTGAATCAAACTGTGTAGGAAGCCTGTTCTTTCCTTGCTTCTGAAAACCAAAACAACCTCTAACTTTGTTTCCACTGAAACAAGTCAGACACCATCCTGTTCTTTTTCTGCTCTTCTCTGAAGCAAGGGCAGCCTTGCCTCCCAGCTGCTTTACCCCCCAACCTGGTGGTTTCCTCTCTCCGTCAAGGCCAGTGGGAATGTTCAGACCAAATGTGCCCCTTAGGCACTCACTCTTTGAGCAGGACGGGATGCTGCAGTACTCCCCGATATAAAATCCATCCTTGAAGATGTAACACCAGGGCTTGGAGCTTTTGTCTGGGTTCCTAAATGTCAGAGGGCAGAGGGAGGATTAGAAATTCTACTCATCTCCAACATTACCAAGGTTTTTGGGGACCCTTCCCGGAGAAACCCTCTCAGAGCCAAAACAAGTCTCATTCACCTGCAATAGTTGTGGTTCCCAAGTCCCAGCTTGAGGGCGTTTGGCCTCTGCCCGTTGTACTGTTTGGAGTACAGGCCACTCTGCCTCCAGTTTGCACACTCAGCCCCACTTTCACTTGTGCTCCACATCCCCCTGTAGGTGAAGCCCTTGTCTTCGTAGCACTCTGCATTAGTATCTGATTAGAAGGAGAAATATAATAAAATAACGCATTAAATAATCTGATTTTTTGATAATCGTTTTTAAAGAATTTTGCCTCACATCTTTTGTTTTGTTTTGGTGAGGCAATCTCCCAGGCTCACACAGCTAGTGAGTGTTATACGTCTGAGGCCGGATTTGAACTCAGGTCCTTCTGACTCCAAGGCCAGAGCTCTATCCACTATGTCACCTACCTGCCCCTGCCTCATATCATTTTAAGCTAGAAAGAACCTTGATTATATTTTGAACTGGAAAGAACCTTGAAGATCATTTAGTCCCGTATCCTTATTTTATAGACGATGAGTACCGAAGAGAATTTAAATGACTTGTCCAAGATCACTCAGGTATTAAGTAGCAGACACCAGCAGTTGAATCCATGACTCCCAACTTCAAACCCATTGCTTTTTTGTCTCCCAACATATCGCCCAACAATCACATGAGAATACACCAATGGCCAAAGGACACTGAGACCTGGAGTGCTTAGGCAACTTGAGTGATGTCATGCTGCTGGCTAATGACAGAGGTGGTGGCTGAACTTCCTGGGTCCACAGACCATCTGCAGAACTTCTGATCTCTATGCCTGGGAGAGAAGGGGGCTGACAAATCCAGGTCCTAAAGGAAAAGTCCTCAAAAGGAATAAGGGGCAAATTCCTATCCCCAAGAACAGCTAGGTGGAAGTAGATAGAGCACCGGATGTAGGGTCAGGAAGACCTGAGTTCAAATCTGACCTTGGATACTTAACTAGCTGTGTAACCTTGGGCAAGTCACTTAACCCTGTTTGCCTCAGTTTCCTTATCTGTAAAATGAACTTGATGGAGTGCTCAGGCCCCAGCCTCCCAATTTCTCATTAGGCCCCTGTCCTATGAGAAAATTTTCTCTTGTTGAAGAACACATTCTTTTATCAGAACAGACAGATGCATGCCTGGTCCAAGGAGTTTTGTCCCTGGCTGGCCCAAGGATTCTCTCTCATGCCAGATCCCCAAGGTCCAAGCGTCTGACAACTCCCTCAATGTCTGGTATACTCCCTGTGCTTTCCCATCTATAGCTCCCAAGACACCTGGACCCCTAGATTACCTAATTAGTATCCCTAGCATTCCTTTCCCATACACCTTTTCTACATAAGCTCTAGATTCGCCCCCATTAGATTGCAAGTTCCCCAAAGGAACTCTGCCCTCTTCTATTGGTATTACAACAAACTGTCTCTTGACTGAAAGATGGCTTGAGTGTGTGAATTCATTCCAGGCAACTCTGCCTTGGCATTCTTGGGGTCCCAGCACCCCTGACCTCTACCCCAAACCTCTTCAAGCTAGAGAAAAAAATGGCAAACCATTTTGGTATCTTTGTTAAGAAAATCCTAGGGGCAGCTAGGTGGCACAATGGATAGAGCACCGGCTCTGGAGTCAGGAGGACCTGAGTTCAAATCCAGCCTCAGACACATAACACTCACTAGCTGTGAGACTCTGGACAAATCACTTAACCCCAATTGCCATACGAAAAAAAATAATAATAATAATAATAATCCCAAATGGGGACACAAATAGTTGGACATAAAAAAACAACTGAACACCATTGGTAGCTAGCTATATACCTTGGACGTAGAAACAGAACTCCTTCTGCTAGGTCGCATAACCTCTTACTCCTAAAACTTCAATGTTACCCTCTCTGGTCCCTTGACTGGACCTGGGCTTATTCTGACACTCTGCCTTCCTCTGTGGAGCTGGGGTTTATTCACTCATTCAACCACTTACCTATTTCACATTGTTTTCCTGTAAAGCCTCTGGGACACTGGCAGACAAAATCGAAGAAATACAAGGCCTGCTTGCAAATGCCACCATTGAAGCACCTTGGCTCACTGCAAGCTGTTAAATGCAAAGAAAAATGGAGTCACTTTTCAAAGTAATCCTAAGGGGAAAAAAAGGATAGTGTATAACCAAAGACAGCTCCCCGCCCTCTACATTTCATCTCTTCCTCATCATCTTGTCCTCCCTCTTCTTTCTTGTCCTGCTACATTTTCTTTTTTTTTTTTTTTTTTTGGCTAGGTAATGGGGTTAAGTGACTTGCCCAGGGTCACACAGCTAGAAAATGTCAAGTGTCTGAGGTCACATTTGAACTCAGGTTCCCCCCCCCCCGATAGGCCAGTGGTCTATCCCCTGTGCCACCTAGCTGCCCCATGTCCTGCTACATTTTCACATTCACTTCAGGCCCAGTCATTCTTAGTTACTTTAGCAATAAATCTTCCATTAGGGCTCAGTTATTCCTTTTGTCACTAGTACTTCAACAAGCATTTACCAAGCACCTACTATATGCAGAGCCCTGTGGTTCATACTCAGTACAATGCAAAGGTTAGCTAAGGTCTAGGCCCTTGCACTTATGGAACATGTGATCTAGGCAATCAGGATCAGCTTCCTGGAGGAGGTGGCATTTTACCTGTCTCTTAAAGGACAGAAAATATTTCAATAGGCAGAGGGGAGGAGGGGAGGCATTTTACAGAGGTCCTGGGAAGAAGATTCAGTCCTCCCAACACCTTTCTGTCTCTGTCTGGGTCTGTCTCTGTCTCTGTGTCTCTGTCTCTCTCTCTCAAAAGTGCTGTGGGAGGATAAAGGAGGATCTTTAGAGGGGAGGGTGAGGGAACAGGCCAAAGGGGTGTATAAAAGAGTGTTTATATTTATAGGAATGGGAGGATAAGGGAGGGATCTTTGGGGGGGTGGATTAAGTAATAGGAGGGCAATGTAGCAGGTAGAAGTAAAGTAGAGGAGTCAGGAGGGATAGGAAATAAGAGAGATACACAAACATAAAAACAGAGATTAGGAATAGAATCTGTTAGGAAAAGTATGTGTTTATATGCGTGTATATGTATACATGTATGTATGTGTATATATCCATATATGTATGTATATATACATATACATATATACATGCATATATATCTCCATGCTTAACTGTAGCCTGGGCAGGGAGGAGGGAGGAAAAAGAATGAAATAAAAAGTGCACAGCAGAGAACAAAAGAAAACTTACAAGGAAACAAAGATTGACAGCTCTCAATATAAGGTGTAGTATTTAGCATATAGGCTTTCCTGAAATGGAAATTTATTGCTGTATGTTTTGAATCCTCTCTTGCATTCTGCTGTACACATGACATTTTTTTCTTTTCTTATTTTATATGTAAGTTTTAATACTTAAATTTATAATATTTTTTTCCTTTCTTATTACATGTTTAAGTTTTAGTATTTAAGTCTAAAATTTAAAAAAATTTTTTAAAAGTTCCGTGGCCTTCTAAGGACAAAATTCCCATGAGTGAGATTGATTATTTGGAGTTTTAAGGGTAAACCTCAATAGCGATGCTTACTTTGGACAGGTGTGCTGTGACACCGGGGGTAGCCATTATCACACCTGCAAAATTCTACCCGGTTACTTCTGAGTGCAGGACGTAGCCATGATTGCCCTTTCTTGTAAACCATCTGGGTTTCTTCATCTTTGCAGGTACCTATAACAAGAAGCAGGACAACTCTCTTTAGTGTTTTATGCATTAAATAGTACGCAGCCCCCTTCATCCCATAAAGAGAAATCCCACAGTTTAGTGATAATAATAATAGTTGATATTTATATAGTACTTTAAAGTTTGCAAAGCATTTTCAATGTGTTATATAGGTTAACAACTCTGTGAGAGAGGTACTAAAATAGGTATTATTATCCCCATTTTACAGATGAGAAAACTGTAAAGTTCCCTTCCAAATGGCATCTTGGACTTTCTTTCTTAACCGCAGTGAGTAGAATAGGTGACAGTCAGAGGTGATAGCTAAATTTTACAAATGGAAAGAAATTGAGTCACAGAGAGGTTAAACAGCCTCTCACCCAGAAAGCAGTTCTTGGTGGAGCTGGGATTACAGCCCAGGAAAGAATACTGGACTGGGAGTCAGAAGCTCTGACTCAAAAAGGGTTTGAGTTCCAGCTTTGACACTAACTAGCTGTGTGGGCTCGGGAAAATCTCTTCCCTTCTCTGGACTTTGGTTCCTTCTCTGGAAATAACAGACATTTGCCTAAATGATCTGTAATCCCTAATGTCCTTTAGGATTTATGACTCCATGACTATCTTGCTCTCATAGGACAGGAACCATGCTTTGTATCACCTATGGTGCCTAGGACATTTCCTTGTACCTAGCAGATGTTCAATAAATATTTATTGAATGAATGAATTGATGAACAGTGCCTGGTATATAGCAGGTACTTCATACATGCTTGTTGAAGATATGTTGAACAACACAATGATCATTGTTTAACAATCATTAATAGCATATAGATATGCATAATATACACATGAGTATATCTATCTCAACAGACTTGCTCTCCTTACAAAACATAACTTTGGCACAGCTTGTGCAAACAGGGTCGTGCGTGCATTAAGAACATCCTTAACTACCCCACTTCTGCCTTCCCCCCTAGTTTAATTGACTCCTTACATGCCGTCTGCTTTCTCAAACCTCTCCTCACCAACCCCACCTCTCACTCACCTGTGTAGGATCTAGCTCCTCGTTTAAAACGGTTGTGAAGGTCCTGCAAAGAAACCAGGGGAGAAAAGGGGGATAGGTGAATGCTGGCAATGTCTCAGGAAAGAACTATTTAGTAAGCACCTGTCAAACCAGGCGGCCACCTAAGGTAATCTCTCCAATGAGAATTGTTATCTTATTATTATTATAATTATTATTATCTTATTAGCTCCTGTTTTTCTCTCCCTTCAAGCTAATTTCTCCTTACTGGGAATTCAGTTCCACTTCTCCCACCTATCTAAATCCTACCCATCATTCCAGGCCCCAGTAAAGTCCACCTTCTCCAGGAAGTCTTCCCTGATCACCTCACCCCCCACACAGATGCCACCTTTCCACGGACTCTTGCGTTGCTTTTGCCCAGGTCACGCTTCCATTTGGCACTTACACCTGGCATTTGTAGGTGTCTTTTCCAGAAGAGTCTATATGCTATCTCCTCAGCCAGACTGTGATCTCCTTTAAGCAAGGGACTGTACCTTATACTTCTGTATCTCCACAAACATCTGGCCTTTGTGAGAGCACATTGTAGGCTCTCAACAAATACTTGTTTCATGATAGTCAGCCGACCTGGGCACTTTTCTTGTCATGATCTCACCATGGACATTGGGCAAAGTACAACCTTTCTGGGTCTTAGTTTCCTTCTCTGCAAAATGAGGGGATTGAACCAGATATCTCTAAGATGACTCCTATAGGAGGAGGTTTGCTGACTTTCTAGGTCCAGGACTCTTCCATCACAAATCACATATTTACTGGGGGCCTGCTCCATGCTCTCACATAAAGGAGTTGGCAGCCATCTAGTCCAATGCATAACCAAGAAGAAGTCTCTAGCACAACACCCCCAGTAAGTGATCAGTCAGCCTCTGTGTGACATCGTCTTGAGAGGGAGAACCCATCAGCTCCAAGGTAGCCCAGCTAGCCACTTACTACTTCTGTAACCTTGGGGAAAAGAGAGTTGGACCAGATTACCACCATAGGCCATTTGGATAGCTCAAAGTAGAGCTATCATCAATTTGTCTCTTTGCGATTTCTAATCATCACTCTGAATTCTAACTTCTGGGACCTAAGAGAACATGCCAGTTGTCTCTTCTACTTGACAAGCCCTCAAACATGCCCAGCTCCTTCAGCCGACCCTCATATGACAATGTGTATAATGTAGGTGAACAGGCTCCTTACCTGGCTAGAGAGAGAGATTACTCCATATAACAACAGAAAACCGAAGAATTCTCCTGTCATTTTCATACTTCCCTTCTTTGATTTCCTTCAAGTCCTTAAAAAAAGAGAAGAATGGGATTAATATTGTGAGATGAGAACTGGAAGGGAACCACAAAATCCAGTCAATCAATCAGTATTTATTGAACACGTACAAGATGCTGTAGCTCTAATATGACTGAATCCTTCTTTGTCTGGATGTAGAACCAAACTGAATTAAGTATTAAATGTTTATTAAGCACTTACTGTATACAGAACATTGCTCTAAACTTTAGAAAGACACGAAGTTGAGAGATAACACTGTCTCTGTCCTCAAGGATCTTACAGTCTAGTTGAGGAAACAGATTTGAGAAATGTTGCCAAAGTGGAATTGACAAGGCTTGGGATTTGATTGGATGTGAGAGGCAAGGGAGAAGGAAAAGTAAAAAAATAAAGATTTCAGCTGGACCAGGTACATTGTAGTAACCAGTGATCCAAGCATTGATGTCAGACAGAGAAGCAGGTTTTAGAGGGAAGGTAAAGAATGGAAAATACCAGCACCAATGGTCAGAAGATACATCCATCTATAGACTGAAAGAGAAGGCGTTCAGTGGCACTTTTTCATAGCCAATCAAGCACCCTAGCCTGAGTTCCTATAGAAGTGATTCCTGACTGCTGCCTGGGGCTAACTAAAGTATACTAAAGCAATGCAAACTCTCTCTCTCTCTCTCTCTCTCTCTCTCTCTCTCTCTCTCTCTCTCTCTCTCTCTCTCTCTCTTTCTCCCTGTCTCTGTCTCTGTCTTTCTCCATCTCTCTCTGTCTCCCTCTGTCTCTGTCTCTCATTTTTCCAGAGGAAATTATTAAGTTATTTATAACTTATTGCTGGCACATCAGCACTAGCTGAGCCTCAATCTGTCCTCAGTGCTATCATCGCTACTGACACAGATTCTAGAGCTATTCCTGATGCTTACCAGCAAATGTCACTCCTCTCCCTGCCCCAAGCCCAACCAACTGTCTCATTTTCTGTGAATGGTGCTGAATGTGGGAATGGGTAGAAATGAGAGCAAGCATCCTGTTTGCAGTATCCAACTCATCTATTCCTGGATCCCAGTCTTCCAGTTTCCATTTGCCTTTCCCTCCGGTCTTGCCCTTGGCACTTAAACTGGGTTAGTTGGTTGGGGTGTTATTTTGTGGTCTGGCAAGCCATCTCACTCCTTCATCCACCAGAATTAAATCAATGCCTTTCTTCCTTTGACTCATTTCCCTTCAGTCACAACAATCTCTTGATCCCATTCCCTCCTCTTTACCTCCCCTTTCTTCCCCCAAGGCTCTAAGGAACTAGGCTTCCTCCATCTGTTCAGAGACAACTCCAGCTGAACCTTTACTCTCCAAGCCTTTATTCCTGTCTTTTACTGACTTCCTCTTTGTTCTTTTATAAAACTCCTGCCAAAGTTAAGTCATCCCCCACCTTCCCACTTGATCTTTTCAGGGTGAATGAGAGGCGAGGGGGCTCATTATACCTGACTGAACTCTTCCTGGGCAACTGGTAACTGGAAACAGAAGAAAAATTAAGGCATGAAGAGCGATAGAGATGAGGGTTTGGGAGGGTGGGAAGGAGGATATGCAGGGTTATTTGATGTAGAAGGATTCCCAAAAAAGAATGTACTGCATGAACTCAGAGGGATTTCCTGCTAATGGTGTCTGTCCTCACTCCCAATTCCTCTCCCTTCCTTGAAGGAAATAAAAGTCCAGTGTTTGGGTCTTCATGTGACTTGGGCAGCTCAGAACATGCCCACTTCCACCTGCTGCTTTTTGAAATGACTTTACTTCACACACAGGAAAGGGCCTAGGATTTTCATTTCTTGGCCATTCCAAAAGAAAGGAGAGAAAATTCCAAGGTATCGCCAAACTGACACACATGTAATATTCTGAGCACAGGGAATTTCTCCTGCTTTCCCTAAATTTCCCCTTTCTCCATTTTTTCCTAATTTTCCCTTTAAGTTCCTCTTCTGGATTTCATCCCATTGCTAATTCCTCAAGTGGTGGTTCTCAAATAAATTTCTCTTCTTAGTATTTGCAGATTTTACATATTTATAAATTGGTACCCCACTTAGTTATTACTTTAGCCTGACCACGAAGGCTTAATGCCCATCACAGTATGCAGGATAGTGCCCTGCACATCTCAGATATCTCAATAAATATGGAATAAATGAATGAATGAATTTAACTCCTTTATTCTTGCATCCTAAATTAACCAGCCCCTTCCATTTTGATTACTCCTTGCTCATCTCCCCTTTACTATTACCTTGTCTTTCCTGAATCAAATGAAATAACATAAGAAAAGCCTTTGCAAACCTGAAAGCACCATACAAATGCTATTTTTCCCTGGATATGATACCCAGTTTCATCTTCTCATCCCTAACACTGATCATATATGTAGTACATAATAACTGATCACATACATAGTACATAGCCCATGGTAGGTGCTTGAACTGAGTTGACACCCACTAAGTTCCATCTTTCAGGAACCCCAGATGCCACCAACTGAACACAATCCTAAGTGCTGGAAAATGAAGGAAGAATTCATTTTTTACCTTTCTGTTTACCTGTTGGCCTGCCTCCCCTAAAGCGCCCCTCTAACGTCTCACTGGAGCGTGGAGGTCACCCTGAGTTTTCAAAGTCTCTGAGTCAATAGAGCATAAGGCCTGGCAGGTCCCACCAAATTGGAAAGGAAAACCTGACTACAGACTGGGAAACAGACTGTGTCTCATCCAAGCACTAGTCTAGCTAAGCACAGAGAAGGTCTCCATCAGGAGGTTGAACAATGGGAGTTGAGGGGTTTTTTTGGGTTTGTTTTTTTTTTTTTTGTTATTGTTGTTTTTTTCTTTTTTAGCCACAGCAACCCAGGAAACCAACTAAAGTATGGAGGAACTGTGATCTTTTACATAAATGGAAGGAATACCCACACTTTCATTGTCAGTTCTTTTGAAGTTTAAAAAAAAAAATGTTATTCTTCCCTCAGAGGAAAAGATTCCCTCTGTTGAGTATCAGCAAGGAAATTTGGATAAGAATGTCCAACAGCATTGTGGACACAGAGCCCTCTTTGCATTTAGGACACAAGAAAACAGGGAAAGGGGAAGTTATTTTCATTTTCACTTGCTACCAGGCATTTTCCTGGTTTTTTAATCTGGCTCTCAGTGAGGGTGCTTTCCTATTGACTTCCATTCCCGCTACCTCCCTACTAACACTCCCCCTCCTCAGCAGCTACACACACACACACAGAGCTAATCCAGTTCAAGCTAGTCTCACACACAAACAGAACTGTTGCTGAACCCATGCTGCATAAACAGAGCCCATTAGAGCAGCTGGAGGGGCTGGTGGGATGGAAAGATGACAAAAGACTTAGTCACCAGGCCAGCAGAGTGAGCCAGTGAAATTGATGGAAGAGAGCCAAGGGGAGGGGGGATGGTACATGAAAAGTTTCCTTGTCTGTCCTTTGTCAGAGAAGTTGGGGGTAGGTAGGGGTCAGGGACAACTGCCTGGGCAAAGGAAAGGGAGAATGCAAACCCCCGCCCCCCCCCAAAAAAAGAAAAACCCAGTAAGTTGTACAATGGATCTGCAGGATAGATTTTGAACATTTCTTATCTCTCTTGGTGGTATCAATGGGAAATTCTTCAGATGATATAGCTGGTGAGATTGAAGAGAGGAGAAATAAGGTTGATTCAGAATTGAAATTTTCAAGAAGACAAGCTTAGAAAAATATCTTCAGGTGTTCATTTTACAAACAATAAGGTGAGTTTTTTTCCCTAGCAGATTGTACTTACAGGATGTTTCAGATCTGAAGTACACCAAGAAAGAAACCACTATGTTGTGCTATGGATTCCTTCTGTTTTTCTGCAGACTTACTGAATGTAGAACTTTAAGGCCAAGAGGGAAAGGTACCACAAAGTGAGAGGGCAATCCAGGTCCAGGTCTTAAAAGCTAAAATGCTATTGCAGGCACAGGCAGCAAAGATTTTGGAATCAAACCGATGGCACATTTCTGGCCTTCTGATAAACCTGTGTTTCGTCCTGGTTGGTACTGTTGGTACTCTTTTCTAATGAGTGGCGATGGAAAGAGACTGAAGTCAGGAGAACTGGGGAATTCTTCCATTAATTCACATTTATCTAGTCATTTACAGTTTATAGATCACTTTCCACGTAATATACCCTTTGATCTTCTTAACAACTCTGCAGAATTAGGTACTTACTGTACAGGCAATTTAATTCCCTTTTACAAATGAGAAGCAGTGTGCCATAATGGTTAGAGAGCTGGCCTCAGAACCAGAAAGACCATTGTACAATTACCTCCCCACCCACACACCCACACACTGGCTAGGAGACCCTGAGCAAGTCAGCTGACCTCTTAGTTTCTATGCAACTCTCTAAGCTGCCGCTACCTGCTTTGGTAAAGGGAGTTTCCTCATCTGAAAGAGAAGTTCCCTGTCTCCTATCTCTTTCAAACTGAGTTTCAGAAAAGTTAAATGATTTAACCAGGATCATATAACCATTATGAGTTTGGGCATGTCTTTAGGAACAAGCATCCATTCATAAGTATGTATTAAGTATCTGCTATATACTGAGCATAGACTGAGCTAGGTGGCACAGTGGGTAGAGCACTGGACATGGAATCAGGAAGACTCCTCTTCCTGAGTTCAAATCTAGCCTCAGACACTTACCAGCTATGTGACCCTGGGCAAGTCACTTAACCCTGTCTGCCTCAGTTTTTTCATCTATAAAATGAGCTGGAGAAGGAAATGGCAAACCACTCCAGGATCTTTGCCAAGAAAACCCCAAGTGAGGTCAAGGACATTCAGACATGACTGAAAAAATGACCCAACAGAGATCCAGGAAGCCATCTCGTCTAACCTTCCACTCAAGATTGAAACAATTGAACAACAATGTGCTGAGCACTGTGCTAGGGGATACACCTTTAGAAGTAGGCCACACAGCTCCTGCCCTCAAGGATATTGCATATTGAGGAATACATGTCCACAGGTAAGTGGACATCCAGGATATATACAAACTAAATGCCCAGTGA